GTAGGTGTAAACTTGATATGCTGATCATTGGAATAATAAGCGCGAAGTCTTAATTTGAAACTTTGAAAAACTAATATATATTATAAATAACAAAATGTAAAACTAAAAGAGCTGAAAATTTCAAAGATTTCCAACAAATATTCCTACACATGGAAAATTTGTATGAGATTCAAAATGCAAAGCTAAAAATTTTGAAATTTTTTTTTGTCTTGACTATTTTCCGAGACGGATATCGGTATCTATCAAAAATTAAAACTTCCTCGCCAAAAATTTACCAAATTGCAAATTTGGACACTGCAACGCTAGGCCCCATGAAGTAGTAAAGAGTTTACACGAAATCTACAAATCATAAATTTAATAAAAACTGGGACCTTTTTGACCCCTTGGTTTGGTAGCGACGGGGACGACCCGGCGAGAGGTAGAGAAAGGGGCATCATGCATGGAAATGAACCACATGCGTGTCACGTGACATTATCATGGTATCTTTATTTGGATCAAGACACGTGGACCCCTCTCATTGGTTTCATAAAAATCCATCGGCCTCTGCTTAAAGGAATAACAATGAGTCAACGACGCCTTAGCAATACTAGCTCTTTTGAGAGCTGTGATATTTTTTTATGGGTCCAAAATCCAGATCATCTTGTCTTAATTACCATCATTAAGATTCGATCAATTGTTGTGAGATCTTATTACACAACGAAAACGGCATTGATCTTGTAGGTACGCCAAACTTGATACGTTTCTATCCAACGCTTTAAAATCTATTTATAAAATATATATTCGTGATATTATGATTAGTACTTTACTTGGTGAGTTTATTTATTGTTAATGTGAAGAACAAAAATGATATGATTAATAGTGATGTGACTCGTGCTCTCGTTCCTTTGGTTATCATCGCCATGTGATTAGGTACGTGTGTTAAGAAAATATGCAACTCTTAAATAATTTGCAGCATCCCATGATTATTGATTGGGTCGTATCGAGTAGTATTAATTAGGTCAAGCTCTATTTGTCTAGACAAATATAACGATAAGATATAGTATTTTGTGTGATTGGGTTGGAACAGTATATAATTGAGGTGTCTTATGTGGAATAAATAATAATAATTTGATCTTTGACGAAAAAATGATACTAAGATTAACAAGTACTTAATAAATGCGATCCTTTGAATTTGAGCAAGAATATTATATCTAAATCACAGGTTCTGGTAGAGAGCTAACTAAGACTGTTTCAATGTCATTAGCTGCAATACATTATCGTGAGTAGATTGTGATACAAGTAAAAATCGTGAAGCCATATTGCTAATATGGTTATAAAGCAATAATCATTGTTACAATAACGCAAAACATATTTTATGATGGAGAGAATAAAACGGACTACGTATAAGTTATAAATATACTTATGAATCATTTGGACACCGTTACTTCGGTTAACTCGGATGATATATTTTAAGTTAAATAAGCTAATTAAGTGTTGGTGTTGGACCTCATACATATTCAAACTCTACATCAGCTTAGCCAAAGCTCGTTCTCGCTATTCGTATCATGTATGGTTCACTCCAGGTCTAGTCCAAATTTTGAGAGGGCCCAAAGCAAAAAAAAAAAAAAATTGAGCCTTTTTTGAAAAAAAAATTCACCTAAATTTCACCTAAAAAAGAACTTTATGCAAATGCACACTAAAAGAGCCATAAGGCCGGTCCTGGTTCACTCCATTAAAGCAATATTTTTTAAGTTTGAGGATGACATGTAACAAGCTGAAAACTAAGAGTAAATAACTTGCCGAATCAGCTAGATGACATGCCACGAAAGTTCATCGGGTTAACTGGATGATGTGCCACGAGTTAAGAGTTCACTCGCAACATGAAAACTCGAAAATGGCATCGAAAACTGTAAAATTCGTTGAAATTGTGAAGAACATATTCCATGTCAAAAATGTTATAGGACTTTGAACGACATATGTAATAAGAGTCATAAATTAATTTGTAACTGGAAACCCATAAAACTTAATATAAACCAAACTTTCTATAACGGTATGAAACATAACATAAATCAACCTCTCTGCAGATAGAAAGTCATCAATTTGAAACTCTAAAAACAAACATTTAGCTTTTCGCAATTATGTTTAGCTCTCCCAAATATCTCTTAGGTCACTCTTACTTGTACTGATTATTGTCAATGCAACAACAATTCTTATTCTTTTTTTGCTTGTTCATTAATAATTATCTAACTTCTTCTGAACAGATTTGCCTAATAAATTTGTTACTATTGCTAGCAACGAAATCACTCATCTACGTTGAGGTTTTGAATGGACTGTCCCACCTTATAACATCTAACCAAAAAAAAAAAAAATGTGTATGTAAGAACTTTTGTAATTACCTAGTCCGTTCCGCAGTAGAGTATCACCACTCGAAAGTTTATAATTGGGTACATGATTATGCTTATTCTTCTAAGATACAGTCTCATATTCTGCTAATGAAATGTTTTATAGACATGAAACAAAAATTTGAAATTCCAT